TAAAATATAGGATTCACACTATCCGTCATATATTTGACATTTATTACGATGAATGTCGGATGTCGTATGACGGATGTCGTACATAGATTGCTTTCGAAAATAAGTTGATTGGTGTTGAGAAAGGAAGTAAAGTTGGCAGTATTGGAAATTACAAACGCTGCGTTTCGTTTCTCCCGCTGGGACTGCTGGAAAGTCACAGTAATGGTGAATATAAAAGTAGAGAAGAAAGCTATTTGAAGTATTACAAAATGTACGCAAGTAGAATATTAAATGTTCTCATTCCAGTAAACAAGAATAGATTAAAATAAATTGAAATTTTTTTCTGTCCAAATGCGTATTTTAAATAGCGAATACTTTTTTTGGATTCAATTGGATTCAATTAGATTCAATTGGATGCAATTGGATTAAAAACTGCATTTTCTATTCAAAATTTTGAATTCAACAGTATTCACAATTGTGTGTTTGTGCACAGAAAAAGCTAATATTATTTTCAGATTGAAAGGCATAAAGATATACTCCATGCAATTCCTATAAATAAATAAAAATGCATTCAAGATTGAAAAGTATTTATTTTAACATTCGTGAATCAATATTTCTGAAAATCTGAATCCATTTCAATTCATTTCAATCCATTCTCGTTTGCTGGGTTACGATTACGTATACAACATCTCTATGAGTTATACATAAAGTTGATGTTAAACAACGTGTTATATACAATATTATGAGGACATTTAATGTTTTACTTATGTACATCTTGTAACACATCAAATAGCTTTCTTCTTTATTTTTATATTCACCATTACTTTGATCTCCCAACAGTCCCAATGGGAGAAACGAAACGCAGCGTTGGTAATTCCCAATACTGCCAACTTTACTTTCTTTCCCAATGCCAACCAAACTTATTTTTAAATACAACCTACATTTCAAGTACTCTGGGTTCATTTGGAGCGATCCCAGCAGCTACCGAGAGACAAAACGAACAATGCTAAAGTTATAACAGAACCGGATTAGGATTGCACTTAATGTGTAAAAAGTTACATGAAATGCACTATCTGAACTATTCGATGCCATTTTGGCTCCAAATGCTAATTCAGTGAATTTTTCCATCTCATTACTTTCTTATCTTGTGATTTCAATTGCCATGGGTACAGTATATACAGTAGCGCAATTCTTCTGATTTTATTGGCCAAAATGAAATGCGCATGTGTGAAATAAGTAAACTCGATCTCATTTCCTTTTTTTTTTATTGCTCTCTCTCTCTCTCTCTCTCTCTCTCTCTCTCTCTCTCTCTCTCTCTCTCTCTCTCTCTCTCTCTCTCTCTCTCTCTCTATTTAAGTGAGCGTTTTAATGTTCCACTTTAACATTTGTCGTTCAAACATACATGGTTCAGAATAGAAATTTAGAGGAAAGTATTACGTGTATTGTCCATTTGATGAAATGTTGTATGAGAAATCTCGAGAAATTGGTCTAATTTTGTGAAAAAATGAACAAAAGTAACATAGAAAATCGAGCAAGAAAGATTTCTTTTTATTTATTGTATTTTAAACTTATTTTTTAAATTTATACATACATGTATAAATTTCTTTTTTATCAGCTCTCTCATAATATTTTCATAGATATATAATTACATAATATTTCTTTATACAAATATACATTTTTAAGTTAATTTAATATTTTTCCTAATTTTTATATATTTTTGCTTTATTTTTCAATATATTTACAATTTATTTTTATTAATTTTTATAAAGTTTAAATTTTTTATTTCATCGCAATATTAGGTTTAATCGCGTGCTCTAATATGCTCCAATATGTTCCTACAATGAGTGCTTTCCAATTGCTTAACACATCTTAACACAAACGTACACAGGAATGCAAAGAGTAACATTGTGCATGATTCAATTGGAACAATATATACGCTGTAGTTGAGATCCGATTGGGATAGAGTTAGATTAAATGTAGCTTTTTTTGTCTATATTAAACAAGAAAAAGTAAAAGTGTCGGCCACTCAATATCTTCCATCCTAATTTATAGCCGCCGCAGTTAGTAATATGTAATTGTCACTAGAAAACATAAGCTTACACAGCCCTCGACTAAGTACAGAGGTCCTATTCTTGAAAAGTATCGCATACGAAAAACTAGAGAAATACTATAGTATATGTAACGGATACTGTAGTATTTCCTTAGTTTTTCGTATGCGATACTTTTCAAGAATAGAGGCCCAGATATGTAATGTTGTGTCGACGACAACGGACAATTGGAACACAACTTGTGTCGCCGTCTTGCAATATCCCTCGACACTTTCGTGTATATAATGACACAAGTTGCGTTCCAATTGTTCGTTATCGTTGACACATCTGCACTCAGTCAAGGACTATGTAAGCTTGTGTTTTCTAGTGACAATTACATATTACTAACTGCGGCGGCTATAAATGAAGTTGGAAAACGTTGAGTGACCGGCACTTTTATTTATTTTTTTGTTTAATATAGGCAGAAAAAGCTACATTTAATTTTAAATTAATTTAATTTAATCTACCTTTATTCAAAACGGATCTCAACCGTGCACAACGTACATTCTGTTCCAATTAACTCGTGCACAACTCGTTACACTTTAGCTGCGTTCTATTTAACGCTCACAACGCTCGTAGAATCATTTCATCCTTTATCCGTTTATCAGATGTTGAACAAAGACAAACGATGCTCGCGAGAGTTGCGAGCGTTAAGTGGAATATAGCTTTTGTACATTTCTGTGAACATTTGTGTTAAGTAAGTCCCATTTCATGCAACGAAGCTTTACTGGCGAAGACCCCTCACTCTGTCGATTCGAGCGAAAATAAATAGCAACTTCGCTCATAGTTCAACACTATCGAATATAAGCGAAGGAATGCAGCGAAGCATTCTAACCTACTACCTGCTTTCTTTAACATTATAAAATATTATA